GTCATAAGACTGTCGGCGTGGGACTAAGGTCTTATTATAGAAAAATTAAATAAGTGGAAAGAAAATTATTTTATTCACGTATGAAACAGTAGATTATAGTAAGACAGTAGAATATAGAGTACTGATCACTAAAGAATGTGAAGAAATTGTACTATATCCTTCCTATAAGATTCTTATCAGAATCTTATGAATTCTTATAAAATAATTATATAATCTATCTTACCGAATTCTTATCACAATCTTATAAGATTCTTATATTCCTTCTTATAACAATCTTATCAATAAATTACGCATTTCCATCGACTGTCTTATATAAGATTCTTATAAGATTTCTATAAGATTTCTATAGAATTGCCGTAAGATCGGTCGACTAGGGAGGAAAAATCAGGTAGTCTTTTTAGAACAAAAACAATAAATTCAAATAATAATAGTCTTTTCTTGAGTAGTGGTAGAAAAAACTCGAAGTTAATACGAAAGATTTGAGTGCGTCTTGTCATATTTTGATGGTTTTCATCTCTTGAATGTCAAATAAATACGCTGTCGAGGGCGTGTTCATATTTTAGCCTATTTTCCAAGTATTCAAACGCTTTTTCTAAACAATAGTATAATAAAATTTGAATATTGCAGGATGTGCACTTTATTCAGTACAATTCAATTTTCTCAATAAAAATATTATCTTAATTAATTTTAAATGCGATATTCGTGATCAGCGTCGAATATTACATATAATTATTAATGTTTTATGAAAATGTAACAATTTTTGTCAAAAACCCGCAAGTGTGATGAATCTCATCCAGAAACGTAGAAAATTGTATTAATTATAGCTAATGAAACAATCAGCAATAAATAGAAAGAAGTAATATTCCAAGAGTGGGAAGTGGGAGAAAAGTCTTCTTTTTCCTATACATCGAATATTACATTAAGAAAAATTTTCATTTTTTTCAATAGAATGTGAATGAAATAATGAAATTTTCTGAGCCTGTGGGATTTATTTGAGAATACACCAGTGAATGTACTTGACGATAGGTACCCGAGTTAGGTACTCTACTACAAGTATGTCATACGTGCTTGCAAGTAAAATATTACTTAGCCAATACCTAATCGGGGGCCAGCCATGTTGGACGATCTTGTGAAGATAAAAACTCATCAAGGAGCCACAAAATGGCTTCGTCAGGGACTTTTTAGGGAATCCCTGGGATTTTCAAAGGAGTCACTATAAAATTCACTATCCTAGTCCGCTTTTCTTGGACTATAACGAGGCATATACAAGAGCATGTCGGCACTTGATAAAAAAAAAGAGCAATCTAAAAATAAAGAACAAATTAATCTGGAAGAAAAAAAGCATCAGTATACGTCGAAATTTACACTTTTTATATACTTCTACAGATGTGAAACAAAACGGTGAATAACGGTGCAGAATCTACTCATGTGCGCATACAGGCGTACGTGAAGTTTTGGTAGCTGTGAAAATTTCTGAAAAATTTTTCACGGGAAAAATGTGGAAGTTTTCCACATAGGAAGATTTAAGAAATTTCCAAATAATAAGAAATACACCGATAAAAGCTTTTTCTAAATTTCCAAAACTTTTATATTCATGGAATTTTCAAACTCACAGGGAGATTCTGTACTTCTGAAATATGTTGTACATTATCCCTAAGAAATCCCTCAGGAGCCCCTGAGGGCTCCCTAGAGATTATTTTTATTTCTTCCACTCCCTGAAAATAAGGGATTCCCCATGGATTTTTCAGGGAAAGTGAAGTAAGAGTAAGAAAAATGCAAGTATTCGAATGCTTATCGTCAAGTACATTCACTAGGGTAGTTGGATAGATTATCTATCGACATCATTTAATAACATAAACAAAAAGTAAAACGATTCGCTTTTGACTATACGTTGAGTTGAATAAAATATATCCCTAGTCGAGACCCCCGACAAAATTCCCACAGGACACCTGCCATGAGATTCTGCGTGATTCACGTAGAACTTTCAACAAACTTCTGAGGACTCCCGCGAAACTCGAAAGTCCTCAAAGTTCCAAAGGAGTCCTTTGAAAGTCCCACTTGGCTCCCGCAGGATCTCGTGATAGGAGTCCCATGGGAGTTTTATTCGGAGTCTCGATTAGGGAATCGTACGTATCAGTATAGCTAAACTCAAAATTAATTATGACTAATGTATTTAAGATAAATTTATCTGATGATCGTATCTAAGCTTTGAAAATATTTATAGTTTTTTGCTCATCCGTAAAGAGCATTCGAGTAAAAACTGGTGTTTATGGCTGAACTCGCTCCAGTTTTAGCTGATCCCTTCTCCTCTCCATCTGAGTGTCTTTCAAAAATGAGCGCGATCTTCTGCTAGAGTGAAGCATGACAACTGTTCATAGGAAAAATTTCCGCGGGATACCCATTCGGCATAAGTATTATATCTTCGATCATTTCTTAAACAAAATAATGGAATACCCAATTGTTTAGAGAAAATTAGGAAAACTAACAAAAAAAGTAAACAATGACGCAGGATTATGTAATCTAATTTTTTACGAGATTCTTGACCAGAGATTCAATAACTTTTGCTTCTTCTTATATTTTATCCACATTCATCAATTTCTTAGTGCTCAACCTTCTCGCCTCCTCTACACAATGGGCATTTTCCCATAGAGCAGGCGGACATCTGATTTTTTGAGTTAGAAAATGATTATTTTTGTATAATATGGTCTTACTATGTGCCAGATATTAGCAGAAGTAAAAAAGGTCGAATTCGAAAAAAAAAGTTTTTTCGACAAAAAGTTCCTTAGGGGGACCTTGCCCTGAATTTCTGTCAAAAAATGTTTTATTTGTAAAACTAACAAACTATGCATCATTCGACGTAGTTTTTCACGCTGATTCCGAATATGGCATTATTTGTACGAAAACGTGCTTTGGTGAGAGAGAAAACTGTGAAATACGCGAAAACCCCTTGGGATTTTTGGAAAATTCATAAAACCTCCGTGGAAAATATGCGAGATTTTGCGATTTTAGAAGACATAGAGTAGCGTTTGAGGAACATTTTGATATGTTTGAATGTTATTTTCGCGTGGAGCTAACGAGGGCGACCCAACTATACTGGAGTACTGTTACTACGGACTGACGTGCTGGAGAACGTGTCGCTCTTACTTATTGAATTCGGTGCCGAAATAGAAATATTTTGTTATCAATAGATAGCTGAAGACGTGCTGGTTTTGAATATCTGCTTTGAAATCGCGTAACATAATTGAGTAAGCAAAGAATCTTTATTTCGTATGTAGTAACGATATCCGTAATCGGTCTTGTGTACCGTGATTTCTCGTCGTAGGAACCATTGCCAAAATAGACATTTATATACCATTCTATAGCCCTTTGAAAGGGCTACATTTTCCACTATTTGTATTTGAATTAGGAGAAACTTCGATTTTTCACCTAATTTCCGAATTCACCTAGATCTTGACTTCTTGAATTTTTTCAGTAAGATCTTGAATAAGATCTTACTGAGCTGGTAAGAAAATATAAGAATTCAAGAAATGTCAAGAAGTCAAGATCTTGAACATCTTGTAATTTCTTGACTTCTTGTACCAAGATCTTGGAAATTCTTGAATCATCGTTTTGCTTTACACTCTTGTGTAAATATAAGTGCGAATATTTTCACATTTAGAATAACTTCGAATTTTTTTCCTTCTTGACCATAGTTGTTTAAGGAAGAATCTACGACTCTATACGGTCGTATATCCAATGGCTACGACTGTCATAAATAAAAACAAAATGTAAAGAAAATTTGTCACTCAAGTTCTTGTAACTTCTTGAATGGCTTCACTCAAGATCTTGAAATTTCTTAACCTAAGATCTTGACCAAGATCTTGAGTGAAGTAAGCCAAGATGTTTCAAGATCTTGAGTGAAAGATTCAAGAATCCAAGATCTTGACTTCTTGGTGTTTTTTTCAAGATCTTGTGACATTTCTTAACCCACGATCTTGGCCAAGATCTTGGGCACAAGAAGTTTCACTAGGGATGATATACAAGACATAATGTTCATGCATGAATGCTTTTGGATTCTATACCTTTGTAATTTAAAGCCGATCGTATATAAGTTGCTATAGTTTTCTCACTTTTGACCTTTCATTTGTAATTAAGAAATATAAGACTCTAGCGTCCTCTTCTGTTGGAATTTGTGATTGATTATCAACAACAGCGAGTGCAAATCCTCGCATAGTGTCGTCGTTGATCCGGATAAACGTACGAGGTGGAAGAACAAAACCCCCAGAATCCGTGGCAAAGTGATAGTAAAATGTTATTTTTTATGATAAATGATTTTTACCGTTTCAAGTGATAGACTGCGCGTATCATCACAATTAGAGATTTTTCGCCACGTCCTTTCCGTTAAATGATTCATTTTTCATAGTATATGGTAGATGAATTGTGAAACAAGAGTAAAATTTACTTTCTAAATTCGTTTTCATATTTTGTCAGAACAAAGTCACTTTTCTTTTTGTTTTCATAAATATGCAGATGATATTCATTATTTTTTGTGTTTTTTTTCCGTAAAACTTTGTTTTTTTTTCATCGTGGCGTTTGTATAAACAACCTATTTTTATAAATTGTCCTGATGTCACAGAGAAAAATTGTCTTTATTGTTGCTTGTATTAACATTACTTTCTTTTGATGGTATGAGAAATACAAAGTAGTATTTACAATTAAAACCTCTTTCTCAAATCCAGATTTGAAACTACATTGGTGTCCTTTACTCTAATCTCCTAATTGTGCGCCAGAACCCAAAACAGTGGATTCTCTTATAATACAAACAACAGAAAAAAACCCGTAACGTTACTTTTACTCCATTGGTTAATTTTTACTGATGAAAAGTGGTATCATGAGAAAGCAGTCTGTAGAGTATATTTAAGAGAGACCAGTACAGGAAAAAGTGACACCATGATCTTTGGTGACATGATCTTTTTCCTGTAGCTTTTTACATTTTTTTTGGTTACTTTTTTTATAGTGTGATCATGAATCATGAAATCATCATGAAAAAATCGCCATTCGAACTTCAGATGGCCAGAGCACAAAACATGTTCGGATTTCGAACATGTTTTGTGCTCTTGTTTCTCTTTCAAAAATACTCTTTAAAATAAGAGACCGAAATAAGTAAAAGTTCTACTATTTTAACTAAGAGTAGACTCTAACTACCCTCATCACAATTATCTAAGTGTTTCAATTGGATTTGTGTTTTTCATCCGATTACAGTGATCAGCTATGAGCATTTTTAGACAATATTGTTGGTATTGTCCTCATTTGTAGAGGATATTATTGTATATGCTATTTTTTGTTCTTTGCTTCTAGATGTATTACGACGAATATTTTTGAACAAGCTTACATATTCATTATTTACAGTGTATTGTTAGAAAAAGAAATAAGTAAGCCACTGAGTGTACAAAATTTTACATGCAATAAAAAAACGGCAGACCTAAGAAATTTCAAGCAAACAAACAGCATTCTATCCTAATTATGACCAAACAAGCGTGTGAAGTTTTTCTACTATTCTTCTACACCACCCTAGTAGAAATCAAGTTGTTATTTTTTTTTGCATTTGTTTATGTTGTTTTAGATTGTCAACAATGTGGTTTATGTACATAATCAGTTGGATTTCCTTTATTTTAATTGCATTCTGCTTAACGATTAGTGTAGCAGCTGGTATGTATTATGTAGCTGAATTAATTGAAGAATACACAAGTATTGCGAAACGTGTTATTTATTATTTATTATTAATTATTACAATTTTAAATATACTTTTGATGATATTTGAACGTCAGTTTACATGGACACTTATGTGTATCGGTCTCCTATCAAATATATTATATTTTTTTATTTTAACGAGTTTTCCTATTCTTCAATTTTTATCGCCTACCTTTCTATCTGCCATGGTTCTTCTCATTCTTCATCACTATTTTGCATTTTCATTCTTTAATCATACTTTTTATCCATTTCATGAAATATTAGCCTATTTTACGTTGTTTGTATGGTGTATACCGTTTACATTTGTTTTGTCTTTATCTGCAAATGATTATTTACTACCAAAATACAACGAAGAAAAACGACCATTTAACAATAGTCAAGATAGTGATTTAAACAATGATTTGATAACAAATTATTTTAGCAAACGTGCAAAAAAATATGGACTTTTAGCATTTATGAGAAATATACAAGAAACAATTTTACCAACAAGAAATAAACAATTTTAAAATGAGGTTACATCATATAAAGCGGAAAAAAATGGACTATAAATATGTTTTCTGCTGACTATATTCTTGGCAAGAGTAAATTTATCGGTCGAACTTGGATAGTACAATATATATTCAAAAATGATCAAACTTGCTTTCTTCCTTACCATTTCTCTGTGAAATGGTAAGATCATGCCTTTCATGTACTTAATGCACTTTTTTTTATTTCTTTGTGTTCATCAGAAGTAATGCTGTGATCCATGTCAACTATGCAATCTCTGTTTGTTTTGTTTTTCAGGTAAGAACGCACACGCTTGTTTTTTTAAACGTACTCTAGTCGTTTGTTTGGGTTACGGAGTTCTGGTCATGGAGTACTATTTATGTTGAGCCACATGTTCTTCTTGCTTTACTGTTTTGACTAAATGATACGTTTTTTGTATCTTATATAAGAATAAATAAGAGAAAAAACTTTTTTTGAACTAGTAGTGCCCAGCAGATGTAGAAAAATATTTTCATCTACTGACAAAGGATGGTTCTCAACTGTCTGATCGCTTTTTTCTTGAAACATACTTAATCATAGATAATTTTTGATGTTAATCACAAATCTGACATCCGTGCCTGCTGCTAGGACTTTCTGCAATAGATCTATGGAAGCTGAGTGTCCGAAGACATATTATGAATTATCCGCTGAATACATTTTGATACTGCCAGATTGTAGAGCACGTCAAGTTAGCTATATGGAAAATTTTACTTTCTGATGCAGTAGAGAACCCAACCATCTTAGATTTTTGTGTTCTAAATTTTTATATCTTTGCGATGATTGTGGAAAGCGATCGAATAGTTGGAAACCCTCGTGAGAAAAGCTTTTTATCATCGACGTCATTCAATCGAATTTAAATTAGTCTCTTTTTTTTAAACCTTATTTCAGATATTCTATAGTGATGAGTCGAAGTGTAAGTCGCGATTCATCATCTCGTTTAAAATCGAAAAAACGTCATAAACAACATTCTAAAACATCTACAACAAATGGTAAAAGTTCTGATCGTCATCGTTCATCGTCATCGAGCCGATCGTTTTCCTCTTCTCATTCACCATCTCCAAAACGACAACATCAATCATTGGATGAACAAATTCAAAAACATAGTCGATTTTTCTCACAATTACCAACAATAAAAAATGAAAAATCTCAATATCAACACCGTCAGTTTATGGATGACCATAACAATGACGTACCGCAATATCATCGTCAACAATATTCATCCACAAATCTTGATCGACGCTTTTTTGAAACGAGAAGAGAAGATCGAATTAAACTAGCAGCATCATTAGGTATGTAGATTTGCTGTAACTTTGTTTTTCAATCTGTGCCTTTTTTTATAGTTATGCTTAATTGTTCTAGGTAAATTTGATGTATGGGCAAAATCGCCTACTCGAGTTGATCCGAAGTCTGATGACGAACGTGAGCCAGATGCAGATGAATACGATCAAAAGATAAAATTGAAGCAGAAACAAGGAATGAAAACGGCAAGTGAGAAAAAACTAAAAAAAAAACACGCAAAGAAAAAAAAGAAGAAACATCACCGTCATAAGAAGTCACGAACATCTGACGGGGAGGTATCGACAACAACATCGGACAGTGAAGGTGATGAACAAAAATGGATTGAAACAAAACCAACAATAACAGTGAATGCAGGGGAAGATAATTTTATTGGACCAAAACTACCCGATCGTTCTAACGGTGAGTTGAAGATGTCCCTTTGTACAAAAGTTTCATCTTATCATTTTCTTATTTTAGGTGTAGGTAGTGATGAGGAATATACTTCATCCTCTCAAATTCCTATTCCGACGTTATCGACCATAGCATCAGCTACTTCGTCTTCGTCAGCAAAACCTGTTGATTATGGAAAGGCTTTGTTACCTGGTGAAGGTGCAGCAATGGCTCGTTTTGTTGCCGAAGGCAAACGTATACCTCGTCGTGGTGAAATTGGTTTAAATTGTGATGAAATTCAAACATTTGAAGATTTGGGTTATGTGATGAGTGGTAGTAGACATCGACGAATGGAAGCTGTTCGATTAAGAAAAGAAAATCAAATTTATAGTGCAGATGAGAAACGAGCGTTGGCTACGTTTAATCATGAAGCACGAGCGAAAAAAGAAACATCATTGATGACACAATTCAAAGATATTGTACATTCAAAACTGAAGAAATAAATCGTGCTTTGTTGCTCGTGTATAAATCTAACTTTTGTTAATAAAATTGTCTCGCAGCCCTTATAAAGAGAATAAGCCATTGATAGATGATTTATTTCCGTCGAATGTTTGAGAGTACATTGTGACATTCTGTTAAGATAATCTACTTTATATGCCTGAAGGTTATAATCACATTGTAGCTAATCCAAGTATTTACTAAAAAATTGTATTTTTTCGAACATTCTTTTTTGTTTACGAGTCTTATTGTAAGGAGTTGCTGTAGTCCAACTAAATTCATACATTTTTTTTACTCTTCTAACGAGTTCGACGGTATGTTTTTGTTTGTGCGCTTTTTTTATGTAAATAAACTAGATAACTTGTGGTCATTTGCATGTTTTTCTTTTATGTGATTAGTTTCATTTTCTCTCTTCATTATCTGGACTCTCCGGATGTTGACGAAGGACCAACGATCCATTTTACCATTGAAGAGGTTTAAAATTTTACTAGTCTGTCTTATTCATTAAAAACAGCATCTATCGAGTTATTCTACATGGCAATATCGGGTGTCTCAAAATGTTTGCTGTTTTGTTTTTTTATCTCGGTTCAGGAATATGATAAAACCTTAATTTTTTTTAGAAAAGATGCGCGCTTCAATTTTCTACGCAAGTTACGCTAATATATCTCAGTAACTGCTTTCAGATCTTTTGTAGATGGTTAATAGTCAAGACGTACGTGATATTGCTATTTCCTACTATAGAAATGGATAAAAACTCCAGAAATAGCAAATTTATAAGCAAACAAGGTTCATTCTACTACTATTCATCGCTCGATAAGACATTACAAGCAAACTGGTTCGATTGGAACAACAATATCAACAGAAAGGAGAAGAATGGGGCGGACAGAATGATTAATCAGTTTTGTGAAAAAACCTGGAATTTATGAATAAAAGAAAAAGTTTACGAACAACGACCAAGGCTTTCAAAACCCACCGATCAATCATCACCAAGGACAATTTACGTCATCAATATTGGGGTCATCATCGACATGTTAATAATGCCATCTATTTTTTTAGATAATATTGTGTTAACAGCGTGTTCTAAATGTAGAATATTAGCTATATTTCTATCGTCAATTTTCGTACAAGATAAATATTTTAACTGTAAATGAAATATTATTATTAGTTCATATTCAATATCAAACGTTTTAACGATGATGTTGGATAACCGTCATCACTTAATTTTTCGTTATACTTTCGTATCTAATGATTTTAATCTAGATGAATATTGAATAATGCTAATAATAAATAATTTAAAAATCACGTTTAATTAATTTCTTCTTTAAAATGTTGACATGGATATTGATAATAATTATCATTAAATTATCTGTAAATAATCATCAGAAAAATGATTTACCACATCAGAACGTTGTCTGGAATCTGTTAATATCACGTAACAAATTAACATTTATTATTAACAGAAAATCAGAAGATTGACATAATGATCAATCTCATGTCTTTAAGTTCCAAATTGATATATACGATCTTTATTTTAACATGTATATCATTTGAAATCAAAAGATAATTCATTAATGTTATACAAAGTATCACATAATTAATCTCACAATGTTTAATTTTTACTTTTAACTAGCCTAATATTACACTGTTAATTTATTGCACAATTGTATCTCATGGTGTCCTACCGTTACAATGCATTACTGCTATACCATTGTTTGCCCAAACTTTAGTGAATTGGCTTCGCTTGAAAGCACAATATATGGACACTTTCTCTTTTTTAACCGATTTGTACTTATTACATTATATATAAGGACCAAATAATTGTTGAAAACAGCAAACAATAGTTTAGAAAGAGATACCGTTTGCTATCGTTCGTCAAAAATGATAAAAAATTATCGCAGTTTGGACTGATGAAATGAACTCTTTTTATTACAGAGTTCATTTAAAGCGGATTCTTGACAAATACAATCAACGGATTATGAGAAAAAATATATTATTTTCACGAAATATGACATAAATAGTTCTCAAAGATTGTATTATTTTTGAAGTAGATTGTCTAGTTGTACGACAGAGTCAACGTTGATGTTCCGAAATATCTTGTAGTCATAAATTTTGGATCAGACCTTCTAAAATGTATGCTTATCTTTCGACTTCTTCTAGATCATTATGACTTTGACATAGCCAAAATTAGTAATATTTTCAATATGTTATATTTCGTTGTGATCATCGTACAATTACTATCGTACTCAACCTGCACTCACAAATATGTTCGTGATGTGGATTCAACAATTGTTGAGGAAATAAAACATTCACCAACTGCTAGTTATTTGTTAGAACTTTATGCTCCATGGTGTTCGCATTGTCGCCGCTTAGAACCCATATATGAAGAATTAGCTAAAGAAATTCAACAGATGGCATCCACCGTCGAAGAATATTCCAATGTACGAGTTGTAAGAGTAGATGCGACGGTTTATTCTGATGTAGCCAATAAATTTGATGTTCGAGGTTATCCGACAATAAAATTTATTCGTGGAGGAGATATAGAACATACATTTACCTATGAAGATGATCGTACAAAAGTGGCCATTTTAGAATTTATTAAACGAGTGAATGGACCATCATTGAGATGGTTATCTTCAATTGGAAAATTTACGCAAGCAAGGTCGAAGCACGACGTTTTTTTCATTTTAATAAGTCGACAACAAGGTAAAACATTTATACCATGTTACAAGGCTCTACAGAATTTCGTCTTACTGCTGGAATTCTTACTATGGTCAGTAATCGCGATCACTTTTTGTTTCTACTTTTTTAGACTCTTCGCAACAATCACATAGTGAAAATGATGATGATCATGGTAACACTGCTGATGATAAATTAATAGAATTATACAAAGATATGGCAAATCGTTATTTATCTCAATCATATTTTTACGCTACAAATGCATCAACAATAATTCAAACATATTTCTCAAAATATAAGCAACCTGTTGAAATATTCGCTGTTAAATCAGAAGGTTTTTATCGATATGATCCACAAGATAGTCATATTAGTTTGGAACAATTTTTTATTAATGAAAAATCTCCAACTTATGCTGAAGTAACTATTGGAAATATACACGATATGATTGTAACACGAAAATTGTTGATTATCTATGGTTATAAACCGTCCAATGATGATAAAAATTATAGGTATGTACATATCTAAGTATTATTTGTTTAAAATTTTCTATGTTTTTGATGTTTTGTTACGTAATACTAGGTTATTGTGACAAATTTTTTTGTTTTAGACAAGAGGTTAAGAATCAAATTGGTGCCTATGCATTATCAACATCGAAACAAACACGATCTTATATTCAATTTTGTTTTACAACTGATCTTGATCTTTTAAGTAATATTGCTGTATGGACTCTGCCCGAACCACTCATTTTTCTCTACAATAGTTCAACACACTATTATGGCTATTATCTATTATCGCCAAAAGAACAAATTACAGACAAACACATAGATCATTTAGTTGAGAATCAACATGAAATTATTATTCATCCTGGTAATACATTTGTCAAACGACTATTTCGTCCATTTTGGGAATTATATAGAACAGTCGTACTCATGTTTATTGAAGCACCATTTATATCAATGTTAGTTGTAGGATTACCAGCTGCTGTCATATCGATTGTTTGCTATTTTCTATGTTGTTTACCGAGTGAAAGTTCAGCGAAAGAACAACAACGAAAAGATGGTGGTGAATCAGAAGAGGATGAAGAAGATGAGGCGTCAGAAAGAATTTTAAATGTGCAACCAAAATTTATTGAAAATTTTAAAAAACCAAAAGATGCGAAAGATATACCGACATGGCCGCAACATCCAGAATTATTGAATGAACAAAAAACTACGCAGGAAAAAAAACGTGACTAGCTAATAAAAAGCTAGTCTATAGTAAAACAAAAATATATTCGGTTATATAACCTGGTACGACAATCTTTCCGTATTTACGTCGAAATTAACTATAATTAGGTACAGATGACACCTAAATATCTGTCAGATGGTTTTAATCCATAAGCCATTTGCATTCATACTAGAAATTCAAATTCTTTTTGCCAGTTGATCATTGCAAGATGATGTTTCATCTTTTTTAATTGTTGTTTTTATATTTGTTTTGTGAATATCTAGTCAATATTGTTTACTCGTTTTTGTTATACTGCTGTTTTTTATTGTGCTGGAATTTCTATTGTTTTGCCGCGTTTTATTTCTGTGCTTTTTTAATTGTGAGTCTAATAAAAGTAAAATTTTGTGTTTGTACATTAAAAAATCTTACTGGACTAGGTGAAAATTTGGACAGATATGGCACTAATAATGAAGAATATCTCTTACAACCGAGAGATTAACTGAGTTATTACCTTGTAGATATACAAAAGATATCAGTGAAGTAAATCGATATATTATGAAATCATTTTATAATAGAATCAAAGGTTTAATATTTTGATTTCAGATCGTCCGTTCTAAATGACGAAACAGAGATTTGTATTACTTTTTGGTAGTGAAACGGGACAATGTAAATCAATTGCACAAGGTGTTGTTGATGTTGCACACGAACAACAAGATTTATGCATTGATTTATTTGAACTTGACGATGTTGATAAACAAGTTAGTTTACTGTATGAATTATTTTTATAGTTATAAATTAATCTTGACTTTATTAATTAAGTTTAAATTAGAAGAAGAACCAGTAATTGTAATAATTACGAGTTCAACGGGCGATGGTGAACCACCAAGTAATGCAAGTAAATTTTGGAGAAAAATTCGACGAGAAAAAAATCCAAAATATTTATCACATATGAAATATACAGTTTTAGGTAGTCCACTTTATTTTATTTTTAATTTTTTTCGACTCACAATAATCTGTTTTTGTTGTTAGGATTGGGCGATACAAATTATTCGAATTTTTGTAATTGTGGTAAAGTACTTGATCGTCGATTTGAAGAACTTGGTGCTACAAGATTTTATCCATCGAATTGGGCCGATGATGCTGTTGGGTAAGAGAGCAAAACGAAGATCTTTTCAGTAATAACATATTTTTGTTTGATTTAGATTGGAGAAAACTGTTGAACCATGGCTAGAAGGTTTATGGCCTGAAATTAAAAAGATACTACCATCAATAACAGATGATAATCCAATTCTATCGAAAGAAAATATTGGTGAAAAGTTGGAAAAAAGTGAGACTACATCAACCAAAGACTCATTAGAAACATCAATGAAACAACTGGCATTGAAAGAATGTTCAACAAATACATCATTTGTTCAACATTCAACTCTGTCAAAAGAGCCTAAAACCGAAGATAATCTGAAATATTCATCATTAATAGCAAATCAAACATTAACATTACCACCTAAACCAGCCTATTCACTATGTGTACAGTTAGTAGAACCTAAAGAAGAAGAAGAAGTAAGCGTAGAAAAAAATAGGATATTTTTTTCTTACTCATATTTACTCTTTGTTAATAATGTATTTATAGGCATGTAAGAATAGTTTTTCAACAGATGCCTATGTCTTTTGTTCCAAATTGGTGAAACGCGAGTGCTTAACGCATGAAGAAGCATTAAAATCTGTAATGTTTATTGAATTAGAATTAATAGTAAGTGAAATAGCGTTACGATCAGTGTGCGCTAATTACCAATGGTATCCTTCTAGCAACAATTTGATTATCAACCTGGTGATTCTATTAAAATTGTGTGTGAAAACGATGAATATGAGGTTGATATGTTATTAAAACGGTAAAGAAACAATCTTTTATGAAACTAGAATGTATATTATCAATATAAAAAAGGGCAAAATGTAAATTTGTAGCGAGATCTTAATCCACGTCCCCAAATTCACCAGACATACATTGAATAATGAAAATGTATAAAACAAATGTTATTTAAAGAGAATGTATTCGCTTAATCAGTGATTTAGAGAGAAAATTGAAAAAGAAATAGAATGCTGTACAATGCTGTCGTTAAATATTTAGTTTTCATTTGATATAGATATCACTCGAGTAAAAATATTTGTGTTACGTATCTCAAGCCTTGGAAATTAAATTAGCTCTTACTATATGCAATTGTCTTTCTGTAACTTTTCGCTACATTATGAAGGTTTCCAAAGCTTAAGCATTTCTGTAACTAAAAAACGGTTATAAAACAAATTTATTCAGTACAAATAAAAGTCGAGTTTAAATATTAAATTCATTTTTTTTATCTTGTTTCTGCAATCTTGTCGAAATTCAGTTTAGGATGGACGAGTATGGCAAATAATCTCGTGCATATTATAATTTCACCGGATAATACAAAAAAATCAGCTAAACTACCATCACATATACCGGATTTATGCACATTAAAATATGCATTTCTACATTGTATTGACATTCGCTCATGTTTGAGAAAGGTCTGTCATGAACTGAGAAGGTTCGTTTTATATAAATGAACTCATTTTTCTTTAGAATATATTAAGATTATTAGTAGAATTTACATCTGATTGTGATGAAAGACGTCGTCTTGAAGAATTATGCAGTAAAGAAGGTAGTGATGATTACATAAAATATATGTTAGACACTAATTTATCATTGTTGGATGTTTTAAATCACTTTAAAACTTGTCAACCTGATTTACAAACATTAATTGGTAAATATAGAAGTAAAATACAAACTTTAAATGCTAAAAATCTATTTCTTATATTTTTCTAGAATTTTTACCACCACTAATATCACGATTTTACTCTATATGCAAGTAAAAAACAATTAATTATTTGTTTTATCAAAATATTTTTATTCATATAAGTTTTTTTCAGTTCACCATTACACGATATACCACACATTTATTTTGTATATAGTTTATTTAATTTTGATATAAAAGATGGACGAACATATGATCGTCATGGAGTTTGTACGAGTTGGCTCAGTAATCTTTCCATTGGATCTAATGTAGATTGAAAAAATTTGATTGAATTTGATTCATTTTTATTTTTATTCTCTATCATAGATTTCTATACAAAATCGAATTAATCAAAATTTTCGTTTACCATCATCATTAGATATTCCGTTAATTATGATTGGTCCCGGAACAGGAGTGGCACCTTTTATTGGCTTTCTACAACATATGTAAGTCTTTATTTATATCGTTGTAGATAGTACGATAATAAATATTAGCGATTATCTTGTAGTAAATTATTTTTAGTTTGTAAATTTTTTGATAGAAATATTGATCTTTCATTATCAGTGCTTTGTTTATTTTCAGTTATTTGTTATCAAAAGAAAATGGTTTTGATACTGCGAATCTAAATACTTGGCTATTTTACGGTTGTCGCTATCGCAAACAAGATTTTTTATTTGAGTACGTAATAGTTTTATAGATTTATTTGGAATATTTATTTAACATTGGCTTGTTTTTGGTGTTTTGAAGAGATCAAATTAAAACGTATCAACACGCAAATATATTAAAATATCTTTTTGTTGCCGCATCAAGAGAAGAAGATTATGAGGTAAATTGATTGTCATTATGTGTAGTTGATACCAACAAATACTAACGGGTGTGTCAGAAATAATGTTTTTCGCCCTTTTTGTGCCTTTAAACGCGTTTTCAGCCCAAAAACGCATGTAGACGCATAAAAAGAAGACAAAAGTGGTCGTTTTTTTTATAGTCGAGAAGCGTAATCATCATCACAATCACTGTTCTCGACTATAAAAAAACGATCACCTTTTGTCTTCTTTTTATGCGTTTACATGCGTTTTTTGGCTGAAAACGCGTTTAAACGCACAAAACGGGCGAAAAATGGGCGTTTTCGCTCACAGCCGGGAACCGCGATTGTGAACGTAACACGCCCACTTTTCGACGATTTTTAGCTTTTTTTGGGCGTTTAAACGCGTTTTCGAAGATTCTTGTCTGCCTGGGTAGCCTTTTATTCTTAGAGTACATAAAGAAATGTTCAGTATGTTTTGTGTAGAGAATTGAATGACGAATCTTTTTCTAAAAAAGAGTGAGACTTGATGATCAACGTTGACCGAGATATTGAGAAAATACGGAGAGGGACATTATTTCTGGGTCACCCGTTACTCAACTTCAACACTAATTAATATTTTTCTTTTGTTTTCATTGAAGTATCGGTACGTTCAAGATCATATACGAGCAAATGGAAAAGAACTATCACGTTTGATTTATGACTGTCATGCCCTAATTTATGTGTGTGGTGATATCAAGCAGATGTCACGCGATGTTCGCAATACGATTGGGCAAATATTAAAAGAGCATAGTGGTAAGATTTTATGAATTTTATGATGAGTTCATTTATATCGGCATCATTTTTCTCCCATTTTCTTTCGGCTCTACTAAGTTGCTATTTCTCCTTATTTCTTATGTTAAGAAGAAATTGGCGTCACCTGTCCTCGTCGTCAATAAAAAATATTTTATCTTGTATAACGTAAATTGACAAATTTGTTTTATTGTAATTATTATTGTTTTTTAGATATTGAAAATATTGATGATTACATGAAAACCCTTGATACATCTCAACGATATTTACAAGATATATGGAGTTAACTATGGTGTCTTTTTTGATAGTTATGCATTTTTTGTGCATGTTTTTTGTTATCAAACTGTGATTATTTGATTATTTGTTAAATTATATTTTTACATACAGGGATAAATAAGCACATTCAAAGATGTATTTTTCTTTAAGTATGGCCAGTCACATAATACGTTGATTTTAGTATGTTTTTCGTACTAGTTAAAATAAAATAAACACATTGTCTGTCAGTCCGGTCTCACGAGCGATACCCCGATCGGGATATACCCTATATCCCGAACGGGATATCACAGAAAATTTATATCCTGATCGGGATATTTTTGCAAAACATTTTGGAAAAAATCATTACCGCAAAAATCGTGACGTTATTGCACAAAAGTGAA